AATAAGGTTTTTTCCTTATCTCTGTAAAGATGATAAAAAGTCTGGCGTCCTTCTAACTCAAGAAAGATGGCAAGGTTGTCTAATTTATTGGATGGAAACCTGGCCTTTCTTGAGTTTCTATAATGTCTAGAGGAGGTATTTAACCTGGCACATAACTAGCTGTAGTGATAGCAGGGATGCTGGCTTTCTGAGACCTTACTGTGAATCAGGAAGCTTGGTTTTTATCTTTCTTTTTTATAAGAAGATAAATAGAAGTTGCTTGCTTTATGATCTATAAATTAATAAATTAGTACTAATTAGTGTATTCTTAGTTTGTTATACCTGTCAATGATATCATTTTTTAGTGTTTGAAGTATTTTTGGAAAGAGGACTTGATGAGTTTTTCTTTTGAAGAAAATTTTCTAATTAGAAAATGTGATGATAAATGGGAAAGAGTTTTTTTTATGACTTCTGAATTCTTGAAGTGTAGTTAAATGATTGTTAATAAGATATATATAGAAATTGTTCAACACTATATTAAGATCTATAAGAATAATTAAACATATAGATAGTTAAAAAATTATTAATAAAGAAATATAAAAAATTTGTTTACTTGATAAAGTATTTTTATTTAAAGATAAAGAATATATTATTAATTAAATATAAGATAAATATAACAAGTAAAATAGTAATTAAATAGTTAAAATTATTAATGATTGTATAAAGAATTGTTATATACAAGAAAATAGCTACTGAACAAAAGATTAAACAGAATGTTGACTTGAAGACTGCTAAATGAAAGGTTGAATATAAGATTACTAAACAAAGAATTAACTAAATAACTGTTGAACAAAATGTTGAATGGAATGCTTATAAATTAAATATTAAATAAAATATTAAATAAAATATTAAATGAAAAGTTAATCAGATAGCTGTTAAACAAAAAGTTAACTGGATAGCTGTTAAACAGAAAGTTAACTGAATGGCTGTTGAACAGAAGGTTGACTGGATAGCTATTAAAAAGAAGGTTAACTAGATAGTTGTTAAACAGAAGATTGATCAAATGACTATTAAATAAAAGATTAACTGAATAGCTGTTGAATGAAAAATTGACCAAATAGCTGTTAAATAAAAGATTAATTGAATAGTAACTATTCTGATGATTATTGATCAAATTGTTCAGAGGATTGTTAAATAAAAGATTGCAAAGATAATTTTCCTTTTGATTTCATTTTTGAAAATTTTTTGAAAAAAACTATTTGCTTTTATATAGTTTTGCCTTTATAATGAATAAAGTATTATTATATTATCACTATTTTTTTATTACTTGATTAATGAATTGTTATTATTTTGTAATAATTCCATATTAATTTAATTTAAGTTATCTCAAAATTATATCACTATAATAACATTTTATTAATAATTATAGTGATGATATTATCACTATTTTGCAACTAAAAGTTATTACAATATAACTCTAATTTTTTATTTAAAAAAGTTAATGATAATATAATTATTAAAATAATAATTTAATTGCTACTAAATGATTGAAATCTTGTTATAATATAGTAAAACCATTAAATTATGATTGAATCTTCATGATTCAGTTTCAAAATTATGATAATTATATGATTATATTATTAAAATTTAATAGGTTTCAATAAGGAAAAACCTTTTTAAAAAATATGACAAGCTATATACAGCAGGTTTTTTAGCTTCTTAGTTTTCTAACAAACACTTCAAATAAGTTAATTAATATAAGCTGCTTAATTTAGAAACATAAATAACAAGCAAGACATAACTTTTATAATATAGTAAACTATTTAGAAGTTATATTATACAAGATAATAATATTAATACAGTATTTTTTTAAAGCTTTTTTATTTGATAATAAATAGATGTAAAAAATAATGAGAATTAATTGGAATAGAATATAGTCCAATCTATATATTCAAATATGAAAAGTATCTTAAGTGAAGAATTGAATAAATCCTTATTTTATTTGGTTCAACTATGATGAGACTAGCTTTTAATAATTAAATAATATCAACTGGTGTTTTTTATAATATTATATCTTTTGTAAAATTACAATTTTAATGATTTATAGATTTTTTGAAAAATAAAAAATAAACAATTGTATTTAATAATAATTTTATACAAAAACAACTTGAAAAAAAAGAATAATATAAAATAAATTTATTATAATAAAAATCAAAATTAGTAATATATAAGTAAGTATTAATATAAAAAAAAAACTGTTATTTTTTACAATTATAAATATATTTTAAACTTTAATAATAAACTTATTATTTGATTATTTAATATACTTGTAATTTTATTAATGCAAATAATAAAAAATCCTAAATATTGCTTGCAAAATTAAATATTTTCAAAAAAATTTGGTTAAAAAAAAGGTAACAGGTATTTAAAATAAGTTAAATCAAAATTGTTTCAAAAGCTTATTTATAAAATAAATAACACTTCTAATAATTAATCAAATTTTATAACATATACTATAACTTCAATCTGACCTGAACCTAATTTGATAATTATGAATTGAATTTTGATCAAGTAATAATCCTAAACATAAATTTAAATATATGTATAAACAGATCCAAAAAATAATACAATAATATTAGATTGACCACTATATTCACTTTGTCTAGTAGAATATGTTTTTTTGAAAGGGTACATAGACCGGAGGACTAATTTATAGCAGTAGAGATTTCAAGAATAAGATTGGCCCCTGGGGTTTCTAGCAATGAAACCTGCTTTAAGAGGTCTAGTGACTGGCAACAGCACTGGGTAATAACTTGGAACAGAGAAGACAAATAAAAAGAAAATTTTCTATGTGAAGGCCATCTCTATACATAATTGCTACAAAACAATCACATCTCTCATTCTTAACTCAAAAACAATCTTATTATTAAGAGGCAGCTTTTTATTTTTTAGAGTTTTTTTGTTTTCTGCTGATGATAACTAGTGCTAGATTTCACATAATCTTCTGGCTAGTTACCAGTCCTTGTTTGCAAATTTCAACACAAAAATCGCAACCAGCTTACTCTCATCTAATGATCTGCAACACATAAAACACCAATCACATTCTGTATCACTTTCATATACCAAAATAACATAACAACTTATCAGATTAGTAGAGTGCATGATCAGTGCCCTGCACAGGTTCCGGTAATTACAACACATGACACCTCACCATAACAATATAATAGATATCTGGAATATACTCCAGTTATCCTATTATTCACATTACAACATGACCAAATCACACAACAACAACACCACAAAACATTACATGACCAAATCCATCGAGTTACATGTGGCTTGTGCAGTGGCGACACCTGACTGAAACACCTAATTGCATTCAGGAACCACATCTAACAAAAGTTTCAATTCTCTTTTTTTCTTTTTCTTCTTGACCAAATATTATACAATGCTGGGAATCTTGCCCAAATGTTTTTTTATTTTTTATTTTTTATAACAAATAGTTTTCAGGTTTTTCCTGCTCAAGGGTTTTTCAGATGATATATTTGTTTAATGGGTGATAGGTTAATATCTATAGCGATATAACTTATATCTTAATATTAATTATGTAACAAGTTAACTTTTACTTTATTAATAAAGATCATGAGTAATACCTCACTCTAACATTAAAAAAAAGGAAATCAATTAATAATAATATATGGAGTTCAATAGAAAAGAATTTTGTAGAAAGTTAATTGAAATCATGACTCGTAAAATTAAAGATATTATTGTAGCTAGGGGAGTTATATTAATTGGTGGTGAATAATTATAAAATATTTTTGAATTTCAATAAATAAATATATGTTATATTTTGTTAATAAAAATTTTTTAAAAAAACTCCAAAAAAATTATATTATCAAAAATTATACACTAAGCATTTTTTTACAAATTTATTATAAAATAAAGAAACATCTTGTATGTTTAGATTAAATAATTTATTAATTATTTAAATATAAAATTATGTAAAATACAGTATAATTGTTTAAAGTAAAAAACATAAGTGGTGCATTTATTATGACGGCTACTGTAAATAATATTACAGTACTATTATTTTGTTTCTTTTTTTATACAAACATCTACAAATAAACTTTCAATAATGATAATGCGTTTTCACTATTGTTTGTGGGAAAGTGTTTGAAGGGTATGGTCGACAATTTCGTTTTTCGAGTACAGACCAATTACAAAGCTTAATTACTAAGTAATAATAACCATTGTATGTCCGAAAATTTAAAATTGAATAAGAAAAAAAAAGTACATAAAGGTCTGTAATTCTAAAATATCATTTAACGTAGCGGTAAATGTGGAAAAAAATTTTCGAAAGCGCATAGGAATTTTTGAGACTATAATTGTAATCCTAAAATTTGCATTATTAAAAGTTAGAATCAAAAAATCATAGTTCGCATATTTATTGTCTTCAAAGATAATTGCCTATATAACAAATCACGCGTTAACACGTACACAAGACAATCAATTTCATTGATGATACTCGTGTATAGACATCAAAGTGCATAGTTTATAGTAGAATAAAAATGCTCTACGCATATGCTTCAAACAATAAGTCAATAAGAAATCTATTTTTACTTGCTATAAAATATTATTGTTTCATGAATAATTGCTATACAGAATTGAAATAATAATATGACATGATTTTCCAACACCTTGATTCTCTCGAATTTAGTTAAGCAACAAGAAAATAGCCAATATTATATTGATGCAAATGGAGATAAACAAGATAAGACCAAAAGGATTAGATTTAGGGTGCACAAACAAGTTATTATAAAAAATAGAATTTTCAGGTTCTATAAATTTTGCAAAAAAGGTGGGTGCATTTTTTTTAACTGATTTCATTATTTCGCTGGCTAAATAAAAAATTGCATAAAATATGAATTAAAATATAAAATTGACATGGATAAAAATAAATAAATCAAAATCAAAAATTAACATGGATAAAATAAATAAATAATCAATTATGAATAAAAGATTCAGATGAAAACAATTTGCAAAATCCTATAATACTTACTATGTTTATCGGCGCATCGTTTTTCTATTTCTTGAAGTAGATCTACTAATCGTAAATCGGCGACTTGTTCAAAAAAGGAAATATTGTAATTAAAATTTTTAATCACCATGCAGGTATAATTATAGAGATTATTTTTTTTAGAAAACCATACTATTTGCAATTAAATCTGACAAAGAGTTGGATATGGCTTCTACAAAAAGAAAAAAAAAATCAAGTACCAAGGTAAATTTAATGCGTAAAATAAATTAATACCTGAGCTTTCCAATCTACTTTCGAAAGTATGTGGATAATCGTCACAACATCTTTTGAGACCACTAAAAACAGTCCCAGTGATCTCTATTTCCTCATTGAGTTCGTTATGCACGTAACTGGCATTCGGACGTTGATCAGGATTGACAGCCCAACATTTTCGATAAGTCTCTATGTATTTACATGGAGTATATGGTATTGGTTTCTCTCTTTCCCCCCTTAATATGGCACATATAATACTATAAGAACTAAGATTTTCAAATGGTGACACCCCACTCGATATCTCCCATAGTACCATGCCTAAACTATATATGTCCGATTTTTCTGTAAAATTAGCATAGCTGTTTTCACTTAGAATTATCGGATCTAGGAATGGTATTAAACCTCGTACTTCCGAAATCGTCAAGCTTTTACGAGATAAATCTTCTGACATTCCATAGTCAATTATTTTCACCTTAGTTTTACTGAGATTTTTATCGCAAGCCGACAAGACTATATTTCTGGTGTGCTTAAAAATAAATGCATTACAAATGCGTAAATTTCATGCACGAATAATATAAAAATAATATATAATATACTCTTACGAGATCTCTGTGTAAAATATCATTAGCGTGCAGAAAGCTTAGTCCACTTGTAACCTGCCTACTAATGTCGATTTTTTGTTTCCATGTAATTTCCAAATCTTTCTCTTTTAAATAACTGCGTAGATCACCTAACTCTGCATATTCTAGAACAATTATATACGTATCATCTGTTGCTAAAAAAGTTAATGAATATTGTTAAATACAGTATGTATCCAGATATAAATTTAAAAATATGGTTTGTATAAATATGCTAAATATACATCGACTGAATATTCGAATGTTAACATGTTAGTCATGTCTTGTTACCAAAAATTTATAATAAAACTTCAATCAAATATACCTCAATCCATAGAATTTGATAATATTTTCGTGAGCGCCTCTTGAATTTATTGAATAATAAACTTTAAGCTATAGATTTTAGGTTAGTCGGCTATAATAATAAGCGCAAAAAAAATATCAGTACGCACTTCTCTGGTAGCTTCTTCTCGTTCTGTTTTATCAACTGTTTCTATGATTTTTAAAACAACAATTATTTTTCTGAATCCGTCATTCCAAATTGCCTTTTTAATTTTGGATGTGCTTCTCATCGACATATTTTCCAATGCACTGAATTCATTATAGTCAATACTTTTTATACAATTCTCTTTTAATAGTTTTTCAGTCCATAACTTATTTTCCTTTCTTTTTCCAGAAATCTAATTATTCAAATCAAAGATTAGAAATTAGATTATTTAAAATAAACAAATATCAATCCTATTTTAATATACATCACTTTATATCCTAAAATAAAAAATAATTTAATCATAACACTTATGATACGGATTTACACGCAAAAAAATTATGAAAATATATCTACCCCCTAAAATAAGGAATACAACTCAGGTAAATAAAACATCTTTATGTAAATCTTACTCAAAAAAAATTGACAAAAATATAATTACCGTCTGTATTGGTTGTTAAAGAACATAATTTGCTTAATAATTAACACTCTTGATATAAATTTACTCACATATATTAAAGGAAAATTGCTTACAGTCTGTAGTTATAGTTAAAATAAATAATATAATTCAGATAAATTAAAGCACCTTTAGTATAAATTCGCACAACAAATAATAATGAAATTATTATTACCATCTGAAATTATAGCTAAAGTAAAAGGTATTACTCAGAATGATTAAAACACCTTTGATAGGAATTTACTCAACAAATACCAATGAAGATATGCTTACAGTTTGTAATTGTGATTAATATAATTCAATTAATCAAACACCTTTATAAATTACTCAGCAAATATTAACGAAATTTTACCGTCTGTAATATAGTTAAAGCAATAAAAACGCAATTAATTAAAATTTATTGTATCATTAAATACGTAATTATTTTATTTTAGATAATAATGTATTACCTGATGAAAATTTTCTGAAGCCAATAAGATCTAAGGACAAATCTTCTATGCCTACATCCGCAACAATAGTTTTCTCTTTATTTAAATCAATGGCATACCAATAAATGTCGCATAAAACATGACTACTTTGTTCTCCGGGAGTGTAATTTGTGATTTGAAGATGGATTTTTTTACTCGTCCTACGAAATGATTTTTCCCGTAAATATTTAGATAAATAATGAATGATAATGCATTATTCAAATATATACTTACCAATAATCTACTATTATTTGAAGTAAAGGTTCATTATTGGTAGGGGGATATTGAACAGAAGTTGCAACGAGAAAATCTGAAGATAATTCCCCATTTATACTTTCACATTCAATGTTAAGAGATTGATTACTTTTTGGAATTTTTACTTTGCGTTTTGTTCCAGTCAGGACTTTAAATTTACGCGTATTTTTACTAAAGCATTCAACTGATTTTGGATTACCGATTAATTGCCAAATAACCTTGAAATTTCTAAATGATATTTGATAGAATAAGTGTCATATAATAAAAAGAGTTTCTTTTTTTTTTTTAAAATACAGGTTTAACTTACTCTTCATTTTCGCTATTTAATTTTTCAATAAATATTAAGAATCCAGAAACATTTTTCGATTTAAACTTTACAATTAGATCATCTCTTCGTAAATCATTCGTAATCGCAGATCCTATAACATCATAGTCATTACTTTTAAGAGCATGTTCGAATTCCACCCTATAGTATCGAATGTCGCCTTCAAAAAGTTTTGTAATCCCACTCATTAAAACCTTTTTTTGTTCCTCGTTATTTAAGTCCTGGATTTCCCTTTGAGTGCTTTGGTCAAAAAGTTCATATAGTGGAATCAATTTTGTGTGATCCACCAAAGACCATGAATATGATTCCTTAGAAATATCTCGCAGCCAAATATCGATATTTTCCATGTTCACGTTATTTGCGAGTTTTGGAACATTTATATCGTAATTAATTAAGAGAGTTTCCCAATTCTTTATAATATCCTTAATCTGATCAATTTGAACTATCGATCCTTTCCATTCGTCAAAATTCTTTTCAATTTCAGAACGATTTTCCCGATAATTAGGAAAATAAGTTGAAACAGTCAAGTGGCCACCGAAAGTAGTTTCTGGACAAAAAACGTGTCCATATTCTGAAAATACTTTTGTCAATTCTTTGTACGGATTTATGCTGTTTAACGCATTCTTAACATCATTCAACAATTTTTTAGATGGCCGGCTTATCATATTTTCCACCGATTTATCAAAAATCTTAATACCTATTGTGCTCCTGATAATTTGACATTTAACATCTTTGAATATTTTATCAAAAGATATATCCAATAATGGAATTTTTTCTAAATCAATTTTGCGATTATCATATAATAGATCTTTAGAACTAGTGACTTTTACTTCTATTTGATCACAACGATGAATCAAGGGCATGGATATGAATTCTATTACAGATTTGGTTCCGGGTACAAATCCTTCAGAAGTTGCCATCAAACCGTGATCCAATTTATATTCGTTTATCCAGTATGGTAAATTTAAGTATATATTATCGTTTAGCCATTCTGCAATAGTCATTTCTTTGTGATTCTTCGTAACTCCAGGAATCAGACGATTATCAAAAACTTCATTGGTCATGTGGCAAACTATCTTTTCATACGCTATAATGGATAAATTTTCATATTCATAAAGTTTCTTCAGGTAATTTATCTATAAATGAAACATATATAACACGCTTTAGTATGAAAATAAACAATGGTAAAGAAATCCGTTTAACTTAATTTTCATGACAAAATACCATATCCTTGACATGTCGAATGGTTACACCGTCTGAACTCTGCAAATCTATCAACATCTTTGAATAAATGTCTACAGAGCCGAAAAAATCCCTAGGTCCAAAACGAGCTTCGTTAATGCCCCGCTTTATATATGATTTTAGTTGATCAATAATTAAAGAATCGCTGGAATATTTTGTAAAGTTTCGAATGATTAATGATCCACCGACCAACACCTTTTCTAGAAAAAATTCAAAATCATTCGTAGAGGATTTAATTGATTCAACGGGATTTCCAACATATGTGATTTTAAGTACAGGAATAAGAAGCTTGATGTCCGTTCCTCCCAATACCGTAAAATCGTCGTAGTTTTTGACTGCAAATTTTTTCGCAAATGTGTCCCACGGTAAATATTGCGTATCCTGAGAACTTTCCGTAATTGGTTCGTATACTAATGGTTGTTCAGTATATTTTTCCAATTTTAAATCGCCTCCATCAAAAATTTCTTCGGAAGGTACAAAGTCTCTGTTCTCATAACGGAAACAATGATTCAAACTAAAATGTCGTACGAGCTCTTTGTCATTTTCATCCATAGTTAAACTTTAGGGGAATTCTGAGACTATTTTATAAGTACTGTGCCGTGATATAATAAAGTTATACCATTGTACTACAGTAATCTTCAATTGTAGTACAGTATACAGTTATCGGTCGTATTGTTTAAGTATGAGTTTATCACGCCAATCGATAAACTAGCGTGCATCAATGTATACAGTACTGTGGTCAGGTTTTTTCATAATTCAGACGAATACAATACTGCATTAAAAAAATTTTTTTAAAAATTCATTTTCAATTTCTCAAAATGAGAATAAGACAATTAATAGAAAGAAAACTTCCGGACCAAACAAAACATGACGAAGAAATTTGTATCAAGATTGATAATGATGATGGAATGAAAATTAAACTTGATGACAAACTAACGCTCAAGGATGTTCGAAACCGGTTTTCCATACACCAAAAAGAAGATGACGGAATATATATCTATACTAACATGTTGTTTTATAACAATGGATGCATCCAACGTTGTGAAGAGGAGGTTAGGCTTTGGAAAGATAATTTGGTAGATGGTTATTTATGCGTTAAAACTTCTAAAAATATTTCAAACATTCCAAATGAACAAGAGCTAGTTAAAATATGCAAAATGGAATATGGTTTAAAAACATCTAAAGACGAATCAACTAGATCTAACAAAAAAGCATTTGTCATTGAGCCTAACTGTACATTTCAAATAACATACGATGTCATTACAAAAACTGTAAAAGAGATAATCAACAACACTTATGAAGGATTATGCAATAAAAATTCAATAGTCGGTGCAAACGTTAAAGAAATCTTGCCATGGTCAACACTTAACGTTAAAATCTCTCTGGCACATGAAAATACAAAAAAGTCAACACACAAAGAAGAATCTTCTGAGAACTATGAGACAGAATACTTTCAAAAGGCAGTAATAGCATGTGACGATAAAAACAAAATATTGCCAACAGAAGATTTTATATATGCAGTAAAGGAAGCTTTAAATGACGACAATCCTATGGATAAGCTCAAAAAAGTGACCAATGATTTTGGTGAATATGTAATTTTGAAAATGCGGATAGGAGGGAAATTGAGAAAACGTGAGATCAGTGCCAAAATAGAGAACACGCTAAATAAATACCAATCAAGAACTGCTAACGGTGATCTCCAGATTATCGAAGTAACAATGAATAATACAAATGAACGTAAATTGAATATTAGTAGCTACAAAGAGGTTAATGAAAGTAAACCGTTTGGTGGCAATACAAATTTGTTCATTAATGACCTTGATGGATGGAAAAAATCTCTAGATGATTATATAAAATGGGCTGTCATCAGTTACGAAACCGTTGAGCCAATTTTTAATATCTTACAGGAAGAATTACGCGAAGAGGTTATCAAGATTATATTAGGACGAAGAATCCTATATAGTATTGTAGATCCAGTGAACAACATAAGATTTTCTGGTTACAGACCATACATACATGATCTAAAAATTCCTGCCACTTTAAAATTTGATTTAAAAGAATGTAATATCTTTGCCTATATTATGAGTAAAAACCAGGATAACGTATATTCTGTTCAGGTGATTCACATAGAAAATAAGTCACCCTCGCTGTTGATTCATCGAATTTACAATCCGGAAAAAAAAAATAAGCATGACTTGCTGATATGTTGGATGATTACTGGTTATCCAAACAATTTCATTAAAGTTGATAGCGAATTCCAAATTATGGATCAGTTTAAAGAACTAGAGATTAACAATCACGATGAAGTTCGTATTACCGAAAATTTTCAAGAACATCATGTTTTGTCAATATGTGTTCAAAATATTCCTAGAGAAGGAAGAGACTTTCTATCGACACCAGACATTACTAGCGGTGTACATTTCATCAATAAAAAACCGCATTTATATGCTCGAATATTTTCCTATGACCTTGAAAAACAAAAATCATGCGTATCTTCGGGTCTCTCCATAAATTGCAGGTAATTTTTATATCTTTATACAGCTATATTTATCATTTATAAAATCTAACTCTTATTTTTTTGCAATAAAGTTTGATTTCCTCTCGGTCAGGATTATGTAAAAATATTACATTGGATAAAAAAACAGAATTATTACCATTCCTTAGGCAGAAAAGGTTAAAATTCTCAATAGATAAACTATTTTCAAAAGTGGATGACAAACCTAAATTTATTAGTTTATTCTGTAATGCAGGAGTTACGAGTATTTACCAACAAAGTCTGTTTTTTGCTCCCTTATCTGATTTATGTGAAAAAAGTCTCGAAATATCATATATTAGTGTGCCTACAATTATAGATTAACTTAATTGCTTGACATATTTATAATATATGATCCTTGTATTTTTTTCTCTAAATATCAATTTTAATAAAATGTATTTAAAAAATAATAATATTCTTAATTAATTAAAATCAGGAAAGATACTTGGAAATGTGCAAAAAAAGTCATAAAACAAAATAGTAATTAAGGTTATATAGTATGTAAAAAAAACAATCGATTTTATGTTTTTTATTAGAATTTAATAAATAATATACTAATTTAATTTAAACAAAACTTAAAATATATTATTTTTAATATCTAATAATAAAAATATTAAAGTTTTATTTATAATTAATTAATATTGTCGGGGGAACAATAGGGATGGGAACGTGACATTGTGGCGCGTCGCGTAATAATAGTAACATGGATGGTACAATAATGTAATAATTGATAATATCATGTAGTGGGATGGACGCGTCGACAAAGCATATAAATAGGATAGTTTTAGATATTTTGTAAAAGAGTGTGTTAGAGTTTAGCTTGGAGCTTAGAGTTTAGAGTTTCAGAACGCTCTTTACTTTCTCTCGCTTTACTCAATAAATGCTACAACTGCACACAATCATATTATACACCCCTTGAAGTATAAACTAAGTCTACACCACTGCATTAAATTAAATAAATTTAAGAAAAACGCGACATTACCGTTGTGCACCGTAAGAGAGTGACACTTGTAACCTTGAAATGTGCATAGGGAAAGACGGTCAAGGATAGATTAGCAAAGTGCGCGAAAGTCAGTCAAATCGTAATCCGCCTCAGAGTTAAAGCCTTACCTTATTAGTGCCAAAATCCAAGCGTTCGGCCGGTAACAACAATATATTATTATAAAATAATAATACACATAAAAATTAAAAAAACTTTATGCAACTTTTTCTATATAAATCTATATTGTTAGCCCGGAAAAGGTCACATGGTATAGTCGCATACCATGATCACCGTGAAGTGTACCCTGAAAATTGTTGAGTAGCGTTAATAATCAACATAAAAAATGTAGTCATAGCAGCTTAGATAACTTACCTGATATTTTATTTTAGCCCTGATATTTTATTTGCCTTTAATTGTTTTTCTTATTCTTCTTGTGAATAATATAAATAGCAATGCCAATGTATAAGCAATAATAATAATAATAATAATAACAAGATAGAAGTAGTAATAAAAAATAATTGAGAAACGGGCGGTGACAAATAATAGAGAAAGGGGTGGTGACCAAATAATAAAGAAATGATTAGTAAAATTGAAATTCCTAAAAAGAAATATTTTAATTAACAACTTATCTTTTCAAGTATGCACCATTTAGGAAAGGATAATTGCTACAATAAGATGTAGCCCAGGGTTATCAAGCAAAGAACTGTTGCCAAGAAAGATAAGAAAATCTTGTTAAAATGAAAAAACATTAATCAAATCAATCTTACATGACTTGACTCACCTTTGATAATATTAACTTTGAACTGATGAAGTAACCAACTTGCCATTTTCTGGTCCAACAATATATAAATTACAAATGAAAAACTATAAAAATTTTTTTAGCTTATCAAAAATTTTTTATAGTATATAAATAAAATTAATAAATTATTTTAATTATAAAATAAAAAATAAAAATTTTTACTATTTTAATATAAAATAATTATTTTTATTAATAGAAAATTATAAAAATTATTTTATGTTTTATTTTAACTCTATTTAATAAATTTATACATTAAAATAATTTTGATTATATTTTAAAAAAATAAATTTTCAAATTAAAATTTTATCAAATTCTAATAAAATATTTTTAGTAATCTATATATATATATATATTTTAAGTGGGTGGCTTACAGCTTGTTTATTAGATTTTTTTTTTTAATTATAAAAGAGCATCAGATGCAAAACTTTATTGATATATAGGATTATACTCGAGTTACATCAAATATCTTTACATGTAGTATTACATAAATTAATGTTAACCTATCTATGATGCTAGCTATTACTATCCTTGGTACACTAAATGTACTTTAGATTAGTTCTAGTGCTGGATGGTTAATGCACTTTCAGAGCTGATACAAGTGCTTGCATTTTGAGTAGATTGCTGCTTGGATCTGTTTGGGGGTTTATTGTTTTTATAATTAATTCTATCAGAGACGACTCCTCCGGTAGGTTCCATTGTGTGGTGATTCTATTATTGCCTATTGTTATGTGGGATAGCTTTTCTATTTAATTCCTAAAGCTATCGAAGTGTTAACTGTTGCCAACCTGGGTACCCAAATCAATGTATAGAGTAGTGCTAGGACTTTGTTTGCAAATTTGGCTTAGCTTTTTGCTGATAGGTGGAAATCTATTCCTGTCATTCCGCTCATGACTTTATTCAGTTCTGACCTTCTTCCAAGGCTAAGTCTTTGTATTTGGTTGTTCTATCATCTGATTTCTTTTTTGGACTGCTTTTGTTTGAAAGCTTCAATAAGCTTTTCTTGAGTTTAGTTTCAATTTCTTTGTAAGCTGGTATACTTTTGTAGCACTCAAAGATATGTATCTGGGTTTCTGTTTCAGTGAGGCATCTGGAGCACAGACTATCTTCGTATGTATTGGAATATCTTTCATAAAGAAGATGTCTGGTAGGAAGTGTTCCACTAATAATTTTTGCTCTGAAGGCTAGTAATGAGGAGCAGTTTATCTTGTCCTTTTTGACGAGAAGCTTGTTCGCTTTGTTAACATTTGAAGATTAGGTATTTTTATACTGGTGTTTTATCTTTTTCCAATTGAGTGCTATTTATAATATTAGTGAGTCTAAAAATATGCTGCACTTTTTTAATCCATGTTACGGAACTATAACTCCACTTGTTTTTAATTTTTAGTCCAGTGGTATAGTCTGTTGGCTCTATTATATTGTCGATTCCTATAATTGATTCAATATCTTGCTGTTCTAGGGAAGTTGAATTCTTTTCTAGCCTTAGCTTGATATTTTTCTGACTATAGATGGTATTGATACTTTCAATTAAAAAACTGTGTGGTATTTGACTCTTTGGTTGGAGTATTCTGGCACTTTCAACTCTATTTTCTTGGGTGTGTTGATTGAGATATATGATCGGTTATTTGCTGCTCCTATCAGGCCAAGGATTCCTAGGAGAATATTGATTGGTTGCGGGTTGTTGGAGTAAAATGCCATACTTGTGTTGTGTCCATATACCTCTAAAAGCTCTTCTTTTGCCACTAGATCAAATTGGGAGAATAGGCGATCTAGGTTGGTAACCTGTTTAATATCTTCTATTGTGTTGGGGTTTAAGAAAACCTCTGGTCCCTTGTTTTCTTAGAAGCTGATTTCTATTATTAAGTTTGTTGTTGGAATTGTTTTGTGCTATAGCTGAAGCCAGATCTTTTCTGTGGCGTTGGCCAGGTGATACTCGTTATTGGTCTTGTATGTCCAAAGGGACATTGCTTCCTCTATTGATACGTTTATTTGATGTGTGCTGCTGTGGCAATGGCACTTCCTGAGGGTTTTGTCAGCCTCCAGTTTGTAATGCCTGCCTTTGATAAGGGATTGCGTGCTATTATGATTAATTCTTGCCTTAACAAAGCTCAGTTAGTCGTTATGAATATGGGCCCAGAATCTGGTCCTTGTATTGGGAATGTATGTTAAGAAGCCTTTATATTCAGGTGTGATGTTTATATTGGTGAACCAACTGGAAATATGTTTTTTTGGAGTTGGGTAGAAGTGTGTATTGAACTCATGCCAGAACAGTTTGTTATTTGTTCTGAATACTAGTAAGTTCTCAAGGAACCTTATGTTGTCTCTGTACAAACCAAGGGCTTGACACCTCAGGTACTTGTTTCAAAAGAAAAAGTGCAGCCCTAGGGATTGCTGGCTTTTGGTATGATTAAATAAACAGTTGGCCGGGTATACGTTGATTTGATACTTTTTACATGATATTGCTGCTTGCATAATCCATGATTCTGGAAACACTTCTGGGTGACATAATGGGCAGAGCCAGATGACATGACTGATCTGGAGAGAGTTGATCTCTGTTTTTACAGCCTCTTGCGTTTTTGTATTGCTTAGCTTAGCTACAAGGAGTTTTGCTAGTATAAGGTCTTGTCTGTTTAAGAAGTTTTTGAAATTGAAGTCAGCTTGCGAGTATACTATTCTGTCCAATATGGTTTTTCCTATTTTTAGTCTTCTTTTGACTAGATTGTTTGCTTTGGCCTGAAGATTTTGTACTTGACCTTTGGAGAAGGAGCTTGAAAGAAAAGCGTAATCAAGTTTGCTGGGGATAATCCAGTCCAGCACTTGTTTTGTTATCGGGCCATTTCATCTTTGCTTGTGGTATGCTTCTATAACCTGGTGCATGCTCTTGATACTGGGTTGGCTAAAGGTGTTTTTATTTGGATTTCCTGTGAAGAAATTGCCCAGATAACGGAAAAGAGTTTTGCTACTGAGAGGATTAACCACTGAGCCCATTACCTTTAAACCTGTGTTTCTTCGGGGTGTTTGTTGGCTAATATAGTAATGAGTATTGTTTTGTCCGAATTATACTTGATATTGTTCAGAGAAAGGAAGGAGCAGAATGTATTTGTGAGTTCTTGTAAATGTTCTAAGGATTGTGCTGTCGTCCATGTATGTGTAAATGTTATGAGTAATTGCTTGGTGCTTGGAGTGGTTAGAGATTGTTGAGACCATAGAGTCATAAAAAATAGTCCATAGGAGTGATGACAGAGTTTCCTCTTGATCTAATTCTTTTATGACTTCCTCTTCACTTGTTTTGCCAAAGTTTGTTGCGACTGAGAGCTTGTGTTTATATAGTAAATTGTGAAAAATATTAACGAGTTTGGTTGGAACTTTAATTCTTCTGAGAGCTGCATAGAGACTATTGAAATTGACTGAATCGAATGCCTTTGCTATATCAAAGGAGACCATCCATAGTTTATTGTTTAGATTTTTTGCAATGTTCAAGATTGATGCTGTGATTGTTAGTGGTTCCATTGTACTTTGGTTGGCGAGCCCGGCGAAACTCGCTTTTGAAAGTATATTATGCTTACTTATGATTTCTGATACTCTGGTATTGATTATTTTTGTGAAGACTTTTCTTGTAGACTCGATTAGAGAGATTGGACGTGTGTCTGCTACTTTTCTTGACCATATGATTTTCTTTGATAGAAGTATAATTGTAGAGTTTTTCCAGC